TAAACATTTGTAACTAGTCTATTAGCGATTTCATCTCGGAAATTTGTCATTTACAATACTACCCAAATGTACAAAACTGATTTTTCACCAAATCATGTCTCATTTACACCATAAAAAATAATTCATTTCTATAATAAGAGTATCTCATCACCACAAATAAAAGAATTCCAAGAAAAATTAAGTTATATATCACCAAAATTCATAATGAATACAATACAAATTACAAGAAAATAAGTCCATGCTTCCCATTGCTTAATGCACGACTATGAACTACATTTGTGGTAACAGCTTCAGTGGGCTTCTATCTTGCAGCTTGAGCTAGTATTGCTCATGCATTGTCTCCATCCTTTTCCAATCTTGCAATTACACGACATGCAACATTATGCTGCCAAAATAATATTATAAACAACTTTATCACATAATTCCTATCATTGGTTTACCAGAAAATGGTACATGCAAGTATAACACTTTCATGTTTCAAATGAACACAACTGCAGCAAAAGGAAGTATAATCCGCAGTAAATAGATACAACACAAAAGATTATATGGTGCAGAACATGAACAAGTACCTCCTCCACCCAAATTCCCATTTCATGAAAGAAAAACAAGAACTATGAACTATGAAAACAAGTACTCCCTCCACCCAAATTCCCATTTCAGCTTAAGATTAAATTTCCCAACTTGACAACATTAGCATAGTTTAGTATAATTTGACAACATTAGTATAATTTGCCAAACTTCGGGATTGTGCTTAAGAGTATGAAAATGAATATATAAGGGCCTGTTGACTAACAGAGATATTTTCCTGTTTTCTACTTCTGTTTTTCGTTCTCCAATTTTCAGTTTTTATTTTTCAGTTTCTATTTTCTAGTTTTCCATTTTCAAATCTGAAAACATCTTCATCAATTTTTTCACCTAGTTCTGTGATCATCCAGAAGACTGACACGTTTACTTCACAGGTTACTAAATGGTGCTTATTAAGACTCGCGTTAATAAGCGACGCATAAAATAAGCAATGTTATAAGATCATGTTTACTTCAAAAGGTTTAAAACATCGTTTAACATTAAAATGTCCAAAATAACCCTATACATATATAGACACACAAACATTCATGAACACAAATATATAATATAATATGTGGGGTCGATCACCTCGTACGTGTACCCATACTCCTAACCCCTACCTTGCCCCCATACCTCGTACCCCCACCCTACACCCAATTCCACACCCTTGACCCCTACCCCTACCCATACCACGATCTTCCACTCTACACATACTCCCCTAAAACCTTTCATACCCACCCATACCTACTCATAGGGTTGGGGTAAGGGTGGGGTGGGTGGGGGATAAGGAGTATGGGTCGGGGTGGGGTGGTAAGGTCTAGGGGTATGGGGTTGGGTGGGGTAATGGGTGGGTTAGGGTGGTGGTTAGGGGTAGGGTTGGGGTTAGTGTAAGTTAGGGGTAGGGTAGGGAGTTGTGATAGGATGGCACTAGGGGTGGGGCCGGGATCAGGGTGGGGCTGAGGTACGGGAAGGGGTAGGGGGTAGGATGGCAATAGGGTGGGGGTAGGATGGCAGTACGAGGGTGGGGGTAGGATGGCGGTAGGGTAGGGCCGAGGTAGGGGGCATGTGGGAAGGGCTAAGGTAGGGGTAAGGGGTAATATACGAGGTGGGGGTAGGGTAGGGTGGGTCGGGGTGGAGTTGAGGTGGTAGGGGTGGCGGTAGGGTGAAGTGGATCGGGGTGGGACCGAGGTAGGGGCATGTGGTAGGGGGTGGGGGTAGGGTCATTGTAGGAAAAAGGGGTATGCTTGGTGGGGGTTCGGTGGGTAGGGTACGGGTAAGGGGTAAGGTACGAGGATGGAGGTACTAGAATGGAATCGACATCGGAGCGGGACCGGACCCACCACTAGATGTAAGTATGCAAATTCATTGCAGCGGCCCGTAACATATGCGTTTTCCAAATTTGGAAAACTAGTAATGATGTTTTTACTTGGACTGTAATTCGTCCCAGACCAGACCAAACCAGACCAGATCAGACCAGACCAGACAAGTTCAGACCAGACCAGACCTGACCAAACTTGGATAGTTATAAAAATACAAAGAAACCAGACCAGACCAGACCATTTCAGACCAGACCAGACCAGATCAGACCAGACCAGACCAGCAAATTACGGTCCAAGTAAAAACATCCTAAAAGTCACTTCTCCAAATCATTAAGGAAAAGAGAGACATGTCTCATTTTTTTCGTTTTGGAAAACGGTTTGGTAAACCATTTTTCTGTTTTCCTTTCTCGAGTTTTCGAGCAATTTTCTTTGGTAAACACGTTTCTTGTTTTCTGTTTTCTAATTTTCCAGTTTTCTGGAAAACTGGAAAACAAGCCCTAAACATCTCCAAAACCAATAAGTAAAAAATATTAGCATGAATCACAAACTAGCAGATATACAACCTAAGTCTTTACAATATGCCATATTAAAATTAAATTAAATTCTATGAATTTCAGATAAAATATATAAATGGAGTGAATTTACTGAAAAATAGAAACTGGTTTGGCCTAGGCCATACCAGCGGTTCATGGCTTTCAAATGGAAGAAACAATCATTGTTTGCATTTATCTCCCACAATTTGCAAAATGAGTGATTTTTTCAGGAAAAATGAAATTGATATCATCTAGCCCTCCCAAATCGTTCAAGGCTTGCAGAAAAATAAATGATTTTGCAAAATTTAACCCTTGCAACCCATTCACATGGCAGGAGCCATAATTTGAGAATCCTTCTCCCTCAATTTGAATAATTTGAAAATAAAAACGGGAACCAAGATGAGAGGAAATACCGAAAGGAATGAGTAGGGGATGACAGCTTTTGCTGCCTTGGTCCGATCGTCGAATGCTCGAAGCTCACAAGTTTGTTCCAGCTTTGTTAACAGTACCATTCGCCACTGGAACTTTTTTTAGAGCAACAACAACAACTTTAATGACAATATCATTTATTGAGACTCTAGCATCATACTTCTCTGCAGGGAAAAAAGTAAAGAAAAAATGATGTAGAATATATAACATTGTTACGTGAAAAGCGAAGTACTATATAAGTAGCCAACAAATATAACTTTAAGCTCCTTTTTGAAAAAAATAAGAGGATCCAATATAACATCTGGTAGAAGCAAAGTGACGATTTAGAAAACTTCAGGAAGCAAATGCTTTATTTGGCTCTGTTATTATTTTCCAGAAAAAGCACTTGTTATCTATCTAATGTGTTACATATTCTGATGCTCTACAAGCAAACAAAATCAACATGCTCTACAAGAAAGTAAAACAAACATGATCTTAGCTTCCCTCTTGTAGTACCTTGAAAATGTAATGTATCACTCACTAATAGGAAGGGGTAGAACATTAGCTACTATTAAAAAATTCAAACTTCAAAATAGGAACAATGTTTTATATAGGAGGCTATGTTGAAGAGTGGAAATGAATAGATAGTGGTAAAAAGTGTAATAGTTTGTATTTGTGAAATCTTATGATTTCAGAATACAAAGTTAAAATGGCTGGATGTGAACAGAAACAATAAGAAAAAAACCTTTTTAAAATAATTAATGGTATATCAATATGCCAAGAAGAACATATCACAAACTGTGAATGTATAGGGAGTGATATGTGTTTTTATTTACCACAGATGATTCCAAACAGTTTGCCGCTGTACTGTTGGTTGAGTATTTAGATCAAACAGTTGGCGTGCAACAGGAGACTTTGTTGTTTCCATGGCATTAGATGTGTTCCCTTCTTCTGCAAATCCTGCGGCTATATCCTGGGGTTCATTAATGACCTTAATATCATCTTCAACAAGGATTTCCTCAGCCTCAAGCATAGATGCTTCTTTTCCAATATTTTGAGGGTTATCGGCTACCTGTAGACTTTCCGTAACCTTAGTCTTTAGTGTATTACTACGTTTCACTAGGGTATGCGTCATGCCTTTCCCCATTGGAGAAGGGAGGAATCCAAAGGATCTGAACGCCAGAGATTTATTCAGCTAAAAATCAGCCCTAAGAGCAAAGCAAGATTGCAAGACTAGAATGTCCAATATTTCTTCACTTCCTTCGCAATAGGCCGCAGGTAGCTCCGACATGCGAATATCAAGAGCTTTGGTAATGTCCAAGGATGATTTTTGAGATGAAGGGATGAAATAGATGGAGAAGCCATGAAATACCTGAGAGACGGGAATCCAGGATTAAAATGGAGATGTGGATGTCAGAACGGGAAGGAGTATTAAAATTGAGCTGAACCATTAAATCAAAAATGGTCTGAACGAATAAGTCACTTTATAAATTAAATTCTAAGTAAACACAATGATATAGCTGAGCGAATAAGTCCTAATATCCATTCAGTCGTCAAGGACCTAAGTAAACGGGGCCTTATATGTGTACTTAATTTCAATAATTAACTTTAAATTTATTCGTATATATGGTTTAACTTTCTAATAATGTTAGAGTGGGTATATTGAAGTTTTTTGGACTAATCTGGTTTGATTGGTTGAAGTTTAGTAGGATCTAGTATATACATTATTATAAGGTGACAACTCTGGTACCTTTCTAAAAAATGGGGTACCGTACCTATCATTCATTTGATTGGACCACATCACTTTATCATTTTTAATTTAGATTTAAATAATTCAACTGCTACATTCTCATTGGTTCATGTGGACAAAGCTATGGTACCTTACGGGTACCGTAGAATCTACCTTATTATAATTTAAAACTGAAATGAGTTGGAAAATATCATAATCCTAATTTAATACTCCGTATACCATAAGCATTGATTATTATCGCACCCCTACACTTTATGCGCCAGATGTCCATAACATAATTAATCAAAAGAAATCGAACAATCTGTGCTCAATAAGGTGCCGGAATTTCGCCGGCTTCCTAGCAATTAGGGGCGAGAACTTTAATTTCCACATTAAATGAATCATCGATCCAACCATTTTGATCTGCCCATATAAATACACGCTCGATCTTAAGAAAACGAAAACTAAATAAGGTTATCAGCTAAGATCGATAGAGCTAAGAAAAAATAAGTACGTAGTATATGTAATGGCTTCTCTTAAGTTGTGCATTACTCTCTTTCTCCTCGCGACTGCAGTTTCTGCTGCTTGTGCTGCTAGGAGTATGCCAGCGGCCACCGACAATGAGAGTGGCTTCAACGACCAGAAGCACTTCGTCTCCTCTAGCGGAATTGGTGGCATGCATGGAATCGGGACAGCCGGTCTGCCCTACGGGGGCGTTGCCAGCGGCGTGGGTGCCGGTGGTGATTTTGGAGGCGGCGGCCTTGGCGGAGGCCTTGGTGGTGGCTCCGAGCATGGCGGAGGCCTTGGTGGTGAATCCGGGCATGGCGAAGGCCTTGGTGGTGGCTTCGGGCATGGCGGAGGCCTTGGTGGTGGCTTCGAGCATGGCGGAGGCCTTGGTGGTGGCTCCGGGCATGGTGGAGGAATTGGTGGTGGCTCCGGGCTTGGTGGTGGCTCCGGGCTCGGTGGAGGAATTGGTGGTGGCTCCGGGCTTGGTGGAGGCCTTGGTGGTGGCTCCGGGCTTGGTGGAGGCCTTGGTGGTGGCTCCGGGCTTGGTGATGGCCTTGGTGGTGGCTCCGGGCTAGGTGGAGGCCTTGGTGATGGCTCCGGGATTGGTGGAGGCCTTGGTGGTGGCTCCGGTCTTGGTGCTGGTTCCGGGCTTGGTGGAGAAAGTAGCTTGCCAACTCTGGGTGGAACTAGCGGAGGTCTTGGTGGCGGCGCTCTTGGTGGCGGCGTCGTTGGTGAAGCTGATGACCTTTCACTTCCGTGAAGAACCCGTGACTTAAATTAGTGCTCTAATTAAATTAATTAGTTGATTAATTTAAGGAAAAGGGGCAAATAAGTTCACCTACTAACAAAAAAAATCAAATAAGCCCTTATATAGGAGACTCAGTCCGACCCTCGTTATTTGGTGCAGTTGGTGGTGGATTTTTTTGAAGAACTTTTTGAGAATCTTATTCATTAAGTCTAGTTTACTCATACGAAATATCAGCTGACAATTAAATTGGGAAGACATTTAAATAAATTCTTGAAGATAACTGCGCTTTTGACTACGCAGTTATATCTTCAAGAATTCATTTGGATTCTTTCTGATTGAAGTTTTAGCTGAAATTTGGTATGAGTAAACTAGACTTAACGAATAATATACTCAAAAAATTGCATCAAAAATTTTCACCGGGAACCGCCCCAAATGACGACGGCCGAACATATCCTCCTATATAAGGGTTTGTTTGACCTTTTTTTAATACGTGAGCTTATTTACCTCTTTTTCCTTAATTTTATTTGGCCGCGTGGACTGTCGTGAGTGTGCATGTTTATTACTCTTTAGTCTTTACCACTTTTCACCCCAGCATGGTACGGGAATGTTGTAATCTATCGTTTTATACGGTAAACCTCAGTTATGAATTGTCTATTTGTCATTCTCTCATTGGCTAATAATGAAATTTTTTCACTTTTGATCTTGTTATACCACTTCCACATTTAGTTCTTTACTTTCATATTGTCCACATTTAGTCCGTGACCATTATCCCCTCACCACCCCTCGTCCTTTCGGCCAAAATTCCGACAAATTTAATACAGATTTTAGGTATGAAAAACCAAATTTAATGCAAGACTGATATGAAAAACTCCACCTGATACAAAATTTAATGCAATGACTGATTCTGAGGCTGAGAAGTGGACAAAATTTGCAGGAATTTTGGTCGGAAGGACGAAGGGTGATGATCGGATAATGGTAACGGACTAAATGTGGACAATCTGAAAGTAACACTACTAGAAAAAGGATTTTTAGCAATGAAAAATTTCATCGTTATAGACCCAATAGTTTGTCATTAATTATTTTAACAACCAATTTTTTTTTTGTCGTCAATTGGTTGTTATAGCCTCCGTCGTTATTGGTTTTAACGACAAAGTTCGTTGTTAATATTTAACAACGCCATATGATTTCGTTGTTCCTTATAAGCAACAAAAAACCACAACCGTCGCTAAAAATTAACGACGACTTACAATCTCATCGTTAATTATTAACGACAATAAAGTAAATCGTCATCACATAATAACCACATAATTAACCGTGGTTATTTTGATACAACCAGTTAACATATCACTTATCCATTAATAACAACATTTTTATATAACCACAATCCCCATGAAATAATTATCTAACTATGAATTTTATAACATTGATAGAAAATTTTATTATTTATTATAACTACACAAAATAAAGTACTTGTGCATTGAGCAATCATATATACCAACTATTTAATCTTCCAATAAATTAAACGATCAACAAATATATTTTACATATGAACCAGAACATAAACAACAATCCGTAGACGGATTTGAATGATTCCCAGCCCCAAAGCTTCCACCAACAATGACAGTTATTTTAGGGACCTTTGCACAAGAAACTGTCATCACCACTTCGGCTCCAGCTTTTGCCGTACCATTT